CATCATCATCATCATCATCATCATCATCATCATCATCATCATCATCATCATCATCATCATCACAAAGAGCAAAAACTTACATTTTGGAAGGCCTCACAGAAAGCATTTCTTCCCGTTTGTTATAAAGATTGCACTCTCACTTACAATGAACAATGAAATCTACGAAGATTTTTTTTGTTATCATAACATAAATTGACTGAAGACAAGTATACATTTGCAAATAAATTGATGTACATCAGCAGATAGCCATACAATAAAACAGACAAATAAAGGTATCAATGGACAGCAATTTCTCCATTTTGAACACCCTCTATGTAAGCGGTTACCACGCCTCTGTTTATACTTTTTCTCCTTCAGCATGGCTTCTTATGGGCACGCGCATACACACACACGAACACACATACAAACACACACACGAACACACATACAAACACACACACACGCATATCTTTTCGGTTTTCTATATCGTTCAAATCATTGTAATAATTCTCTAGTCGTGCAAGTCCAGGATAGCTCGAATTTCGTTCTGTCCAGTGTTAGCCAACCAATTTTGGGATTTTCTCCTCGTGTGCGTGGAGATCACAAAACTTTGAAAGATAAAAATGGAATTTATATCTCGTGAACACAACAAATAAAACCAAAAGAAATGATATAGATCTAATAGTATGGTGTTCTGTCTCTCCTGAAAAATTCATTGCGACGGACTTCCACATGCAAAGAATTACTTCCGCGAAATAGAAGCTTTTTTCTTGCTAATAAGACATGTTCGTAAAAGGGTGTGTACGCAATTCGCTTTCGTAAAGTCGAAAGAGAAGACGTAACATACTGTTAGAACAACCCCCACGATATAATTATACAAGATAACGTTTTTGACTCCGCCAAAAGTTCGCTTGATAGCAAATGAAATTAGCAGCAACAATAATTAATAATAAAAACGTATCTACCACGGAGACAATTTATGAACCTCGATATAGAGAGTCTGGGCTGGATCCTGTACATCGGGAGCAGGGGAACATTGTTTAAAGAAGACCAACAGAGAGTATATTATATCATTTAGATGGCTGTGTCGCACAGAACATCGCGGTCTCTGAATCTTTTCAGTTTCTGCTAGCAGACGACATCACGC